GGTCTTGCTTTGTTACGGATGGAGCGCTATGCTCAAGCTCGAGTCAAATTCAAGTATGTAAAATAGTTTAAAAGCTGCGGAAAAACACGTGAATTTTAACACTCTTTTTGCATATTTCAACCTCAGGTTGCGTGCTGTAATACAGTTCTTTTTTTTTCTCTATAGGCAAGCCTTTCAATTAAAAGGGGAAGACATTCCTGATGTCATTCAGGAGATAATCAATACAATAGAAGGAGGTCCGCCTGTGGATGTGTCAATTGTTCGTTCTATGTAAGTGTCTCTGTTTAGCTAAAACTGTTATCCTAGTATGGGCGTAGTGGAGAGATATATATTGTGAAAATGTCTTGCTACTCCAGTCAAGGAACAGGAAAGTGTTTGATCAATATAAACTTCAGTTGATGATGAATTAGATGTTAGCAGCTTCATTAGCTAAGGTCTAAGGAATTATAAAATTGGTGAGAATTGTAAATAAAATCATGATTGATGTAAGTCGAAGAAAAAAGTTAAAAGGCTTTGGTAATCCACCATCTGATCTTATTCTTGGGACTGTTGACACGTGTCAGGTATGACCATTTGGCGAAAAGCGCGCCAACAATTTTGGACGATTCTTTATCAGCAGACTCATACCTGAATGTTCTGCATATGCCATCCACTTTCCCTCGTTCAGAGAGGTCGAGGAGATCTCTGGAATCAGAAAAGAATAATTCTGTACCTGGTTCAGACTTTGAAGATGGCCCCCGAAGCAACTTGGATACTACACGCTATTCTGAGTGCACCAACTACTTGCAGGAAGTAAGGCAGTGATATTCTAGTGCATTCTGGAATTACCTCAGAATATACTTATCTTTCTTGAACATGTCTTTGGTGGACCCAATTTTTAAGAGTGCTTTCTGAGTTTTTATGAAATTAGCATTATTTGCACTGGTTACATTTTACTTTTGTTTTGGTTCATTGAGTTTGTTTCTCTGATTCTGCAGCATGCTCGCCAAAACCTGCTTGGGTTTATGTTCCGCCATGGTCACTATAAAGATGCATGCATGTTATTCTTTCCACAAAGTGCTCTTCCTCCTCCTTTGCAAACTTCATCTGTGGGCGCAGTAAGCACATCTTCATCACCTCAACGAACTGATCCCTTGGCAACTGAATATGGGACCATTGAAAGTTTGTGCGAGTTTTGTGTCGGTTATGGAGCTATCTCATCCCTTGAGGAAGTAATTACAGAAAGACTTGAATCCGCAAAGCATCAAGATCAAGCCATCAATCAGTACATAGCTGGAGCTCTTACTCGTATCTGTGCATACTTTGAGATCAACCGGCATTTCAATTACCTATACAAGTTTCTGGTGAGATCATCTTCGTTGTCATGGTTCTTTAACTATAACTTATCGTTGGGTTGTTTCCACTTTGATTTTTTCACCTTTTGCTATACTAACAAGTAACTAGATCTAAATTATTTTTGTTGTGTGCTGCATGCGCATAGTTTCTGCTGTACAGTTATATAGTCATGTAGACAGATAATCACTGCAAATATAAGAGTACTCTCTGCTTTGCACCTCCTCTCCTGCAATCTGAACCATAAACCCTGATCCTAAGCTTGAATTAGTTCTTAGTGCATCCTTAAAACTGCAGATCCTGTAGTTCAGGAGGTTTCTAGTATGAATTTTATGAATAAGGCTGTGTATTTATGGTATTGGTATAAAGTTTAATGCAACAAAACATTTTTGTGATCATGTGTTGTCGATCATGGTCTATTAGTGTAGTTTTTCTATTTCTGGAAAGACAGCCAAGTGGCTCGTAAAACTGTGTGCTACATCCTGAAAGCCTAACTTTTTTTCTGGAATACTTGTGAATCATAATGCTAATTCACTGTTTTTTCTTTTTTAATTGTTCAGGTACTCAAAAAGGATTATGTCACCTCTGGGTATTGCTGTATTCAGCTTTTTATGAATTCTACAACTCAGGAGGACGCTGTAAAGCATCTTGAGCATGCAAAGGTATCTAGTCAGTAGCTCTTTCCTCACCACCCATTCCATCTCTGTGTTTAGTCTGAAATGGATTTCTTGCAATGTATTTACATGCAATGCCCATCTGAAAACACTTATCAACTAAGTGAATCCATAGTATGTGTTTTGCTGATTTGCAGATTTTTCAAATGCATTTTTTCTGTGTGTGGAATGTAAAATTTTAAGCATTATAAAGTGGTTTTGAGTCGATTGAAACAATTAGGCAAGACTCTGTTGACTTTGTGGCAGTTGGTGGCACAAAAATTTGGATCAGGGACGCTTTTTCCTTGCTCTCTTTTTTCCTGTTTGCTAAATATTATGCAATTATTTGAACTAGAGCTTTTCTAAAAGCTGCATGGAGTACATTAAGACGAGTATTTGTAGCTTACAGGTTAAACCATCTTATTCTTATGTGATAACTACTTGTATGAATTATACATTACATCCTGCACTCATAAGCATGCCAGTGCTGCACAAAACTATGATAACATCTATGCTGCGTGTTTCTCTTTCTGGTTTTTGGAATATTGGTCTCTAACTATCCTCTGGGTACAGGCGCACTTTGAAGAAGCATTGACAGCGCGTCATAGAGGTTCAGACTCGAAAAAAATTGTTACAAAGGGTGTTAGAGGAAAAAGTGCCGCGGAGAAGCTGAGTGAAGAAACTCTTGTTACGTTGTCCTCACGGGTGAAAATGCAGGTAACCCTGAACACCGTTTATGTCATCCTTTTCATGAAGTAGGGCTTTATAGATTTATAACTCCACCTTTGTGGGTTTGTTCTTCCTATAGATTGATGTGGTGAAGTCCTTCAGTGACTCTGAAGGACCACCATGGAAGCATTCCTTGTTTGGAAATCCAAATGATATAGAGACATCCAGGTTTGTCCTCAAAAAGTGATTGGCTGTAAAATACAACTTAGTTCCCCCATTATCATTTAAACAAATTTCTTATATCCTTACGCAAGTTTAAGGAATATGTATCGGTAGATTATAGACGAAATAAAGGAGAAAGAAAAAGAGCTAGTAACAGTGCAGTGACCTGTATTCCTTTCCACACTGCCCTCATGATTCCACTCCACTTTTGTTTGACCCCCCAAGAGAGACTTACCTAGAATTTCTAAATCGATTCTAGCTTTCTCTTCACATAGCCATGATGCCTATCAAATGAATGATGTGGATACTTTTCCCTTGTCCAGATAAATTGAACACCTGTTTTTATGCAATCCTTGAAGGATGTGCTACTCCAAATGAAAATGAAAGACCAAACTTAATAATCATATTTGCTTTGGTGAAAGAAGAAAAATCTTCAGCTGATATCTCTTTCCCTGGCTCTTACTTTCAGGAGAAGATGTGAAATAGTGGAGACTCTTGTTGAGAAAAATTTCGACTTAGCTTATTCAGTTATATATGAATTCAAGCTCTCAGGTGCCTGTTTGTTTTATGTTAATATCTGTGTAATGTTGTTGTGCATGGAATCTGACTTTTCCCTTGCTTCTAAGCAGCTGTTGATATATATGCTGGTGTTGCTACGTCACTAGCCAATAGGAAGAAGGGCAGTCAGTTGACAGAACTTTTCAAAAACATTAAGGGAACAATCCAGGATGATGACTGGGATCAGGTACTGAACATTGCAGGTGTTCAAGATTATTAGGGTCCAACATAAAACTCTTTTTGGGAATTTCACAAAACGTTATTTGTTTATTGCCCAGAATAAAATATGGGTGTTTGGTTGGATGTACCTTCTATACTTCTATTCCGATTAGGCAATCTTTCAGATACAGGGAAAGCTCGTTCGGTAATGCTTATATTCTGTGAAATGCTGCAGGTCCTGGGTGCTGCCATCAATGTATATGCCAACAAGCACAAAGAGCGCCCTGACCGTCTCATTGACATGTTAACAAGCAGCCATCGGTAAGATATTTTACGGTTATAACTGTTTTGTTATTTCCACTATGTTCCACCCCATTGAAAAGAGTATCACTCGTTGAATAATCATATCTCATGGAGTTACTAAAATAAACCATTAATTTTGGTTTCTTTTATTCACAAATTCACACTGTTTCAGAGATATGATCATGTATGTAATAAATTGAATCGCATTGTACAATTATGCGGGATCGTTAGGCTGATACATGTCTGATTGTAAACGAGTGCAGAAAGGTGCTGGCTTGTGTGGTATGTGGCCGCCTGAAAAGTGCATTCCAGATTGCATCTAAAAGCGGAAGCGTGGCTGATGTTCAATATGTAGCTCATCAAGCCTTACATGCCAATTCGCACACAGTACTTGATATGTGCAAGCAATGGCTAGCTCAATACATGTAAAGCCCTGTAATCTCCATGACAATAGAAGCCAACATAAAAACTTGAGGTAAACATCTTATTTTTGGCAGCTTAGCGATTAGTCTAGCCTCGTATTAGTTCCGCGCTGCCTTATGAGGTTTTTGCTTGAAACTTTGGGAGCAGATTGTTTAAAAGAACCTGGTGGAAAATTGTCCAGTCTCTCACATGAAGATCATTAACTGATGATTCTCACTTATGAGATTATGGGTTTTGTGTTGTCGCAAAATGGAGAAAATGCAAATTTCTACTTGTAAAAAATTATATGGTCGGCATATTTACTATTGAAAGTATGAGGTTGATTGCTTGCGGCTTTTTTGCGGTTGGGTTTTCATAGGTAATCATATATTGTTATAAATATTTGTGAAGATTATATAGAACAACTCAAAACAAAGAAAGAAAGAGTGTAATTGTTGTTATAAAGGTGTTTTCGGTTTTAGATTGATCTATTTTTTGCTTTGGAATATCAATAAAGTAAAAGATTCATTGTCAGTACATATTTTTCTGTTAGTTATTTGACTGTTTGACAAGAAAAATCTAATTTTTTTAGAGGGAACGATTTTTCATTTTTTCTGGTTATATAATAGAGTAGGATACATTTTTAAAAGGATGTAACCTTTGCGGCCCAATAAGAAAACGGGCCCAAATCTCCTTTTCGTCGTTTTGTTTTTACAAGTAGAGAATAATTTCCAAAAGCGAGATTTGGAAAACCCTAATCAAAGCAAAGCAATGTCAGATCCTTACGAGAGAGTGAACGGTGGAAGGTTGGCGTTCAAAGGAGGAGATTTAGCCACAAGGAAATCGATCGACAAGAAGAATAAGAAGAAGCAGAAGAAGAAGAAAGAAAAGCTCGAGGGAGAAGTGAAGATGGCTCCCGACGGTTCAGCCACTTCCGCCGCTGCCGTTGTAGATGATGATATTTACTCAATTGATGCGGCGAAGAAGAAGAAGTACGATGACTTATTTCCTGTGGAGGCCAAGAAGTTTGGTTACATTCCGAAATCAAATTTCGAATCCATGGAAGATGCTCTTGACGATCGTGTCAAGAAGAAAGCTGATCGTTACTGTAAATAAACTCTCTTTTGTTTGTTTGATAGTTTGGTACACAAAATTTGCAGATTTGAGGATCTAATGAATTTATCTTTTGACTGTACTAAATCTGGTGTAGTTGTTTGTTGATTTTAGAGTGAATGCTTATGCAACAAAGTGCTTATTCTCTGGGGAAAAAAAAAAAAATACAACTTAATAGAGAAAGTAAAAGATGTGAAAGTCGGTCTTTTTTTCCAGATCAAGTCGGATCTAATCCTACTATTAGTTTCATGTTAGACTATAGATTTATTACTTGTTTCAACTTTGGATGTTCACCGTGGTTCTCCTGGCCTTCAACCAATCAACCCATGGCCATCCATAATCGTTTTTGTGGTTGGTGCTATGGTTAGGCCGGCTTCTTTTAAGCTTCCTCCACTCGAATCACCTTTCAGATATGGGTGAGATCTGATGTTTCTTGTGTTGATCGATAATTGAGTTTATCATAATGTTTTTAAGTTTGTTAAGTTTTTACATTAACAGTTATGTCTTGTCCAATCTTGTCCAATAGGTATCTTGTGTTAAGAGTTACAACTCTTAGTCTTAGTATTGTTTCGATGTGTCTGTTTGTAACTATATAAAGACGTTGTCTATCTATTGTAAACACAAGTTTGTGATTCAATAAAAAAGTCAGTTCCTTGTTACTCTCTGTTGTTCATTTCGATTGTGTGTTTCAAAAGAAACAGAACAACAAGTAAAACACTTGTTCTGTTCTTTGTGAGAACAAGAAGCTTTTGCTTCTAACATCTTGACTCCTTCAAACCGGATCCAGTCGATTGTATATCGACATCACCGGCCCAGGCAGCTTTTGACGGTTTCAATGTCTACTATTGAGATTCCGTCTTGCTGATCTTAGTAGCCCAAGATCTCTCACTTTCGAAGTCTCCAAATAATCAAGAGAGGACTATATGACAAGAAGTTTGGTTTTGATGGTGTTTGTTTCTCGAATATGTCAGAACCAGCTTCCGATCTCAGAATTTAACTAGTAAATTAAAGAAGTAAGAGGCAACGTGATAATATTTGTAGTTTTGTTTTAGATTTGGTCTTGTATCCTGATTATTCGGACGGTTGTTATCCGTTAATCGGGCTTTTGTTCCGGAAGTTCTCCATAAACTTGCTGGCTTTGCGTCCGAAGGGGCTTCGGCCCTTGTCGGCTTTGTATCCGGAAGGTGTCGATTTGAACCTTGCCAGCTTTGTGTAATTTCCATTTCCACTTTCGATAAAAGTTTCAATGTTTAGTGAAAAAAAAACAGAGAAAGTAAAGAGATTATTTGGATATATTAGGGAATAAAGTACAATATCCACAGTAACATTAAAAAGCATTTCGTTTATTTTGGAAAATCGAAACTGTTAATAGTTGTGTCCATGGTACTAAACAGTAAACACACACCAGCTACTTCCACCAGCAAGAAAATCTTTGGATCATATTTTTCTTCGAACCAGACCTTTGAAAAAGTCAAAACTGTAATTGAAAAGATAACACGTTATATTAGATTTAACAATGTAATGTAATGTTAAATCGATTCAACTCAAAAAAGAATTACCTGTTGCCATCAGGGTGAAGCTCATACATTTGATTGTCATCTCCAATAGCTAGCAAATATCCCGAAGATGTTAAACCCTGCAATTTTAAAGGAGAAGCAAAAGAGGATCAAATCACCCTTATACAATGCAAATGCCAAATATGGACAACATATGGTGCATTTTCATCCGGATGATGCGAACAAACATGCCTTGTAATATATAACCAACGCAAAAATAAAAAATAAAAGAAGAATCCTTACTTGGATGGTCACAACATTTTGAACAACTTGGTCCTGTACTTTTTCTTCAACAATCACTCTTTGCTCGCTGCACATTTGTAAGTACATGGTCAAGTTTGTAATACCTAAACCTCAATGTGAATGTATTAAGAAAATTTTGATACAGCCATGAACCAGTAAAAGCTACACTAGTAATTGGCAAGTAACAGTGTCTTCTTCTTAACTTTAAGAGATCTTAGAGCATGATTAACGGCAACATCTTAGAGATATCTTAGTATTAAAGTTGATTAAATAAAATCAAACCAACATCTTAAAACTAAGATTTGTATCTAAGTTAAGATGTTTTTCTTAACTTAAGATGTTGCAAGGTGTCACATTGTGATTGGTTAAAAGTGATATGTTTTGATACGTATTGGTGATATGTTTTGATACGTATAAATTTTATACGTATAAATTTTATTTTTATATTGGTGATATGTTTTGATACGTATAAATTTTATTTTTAGATATGTTTTGTCAATTGGTGATATGTTTTAATACGTATAAATTTTATTGGTCAATTGGTGATATGTTTTGATACGTATAAATTTTATTTTTATATTAATATTTTTTTTCTACGTCTTCTCTGTTTGATAAAAGTGATATGTTGATACGTATAAATTTTATTTTTATATTAATATTTTTTTTTTAAGAACCACATGTTAAGAACCTACCATTAATCACACAAAAATCTTAACCCAAAAATACTATCTCTTACCTATCACTTTTATAAATATATTACTTAAATATTCCTAAGATTTATTTCTAAGATACTACCAATAATCATGCTCTTAGTTTATTGCAGGCAAATACCATTGTATATTAAAACATCAAATAAAAATAAGATCATTTTCGCCAAGTCAACATGTTATACATAATCACGATGGGATAAGCATAAAAATAAAACCAGTTCAAGATTCAGATAAGAGAAACCTTTCAATGACAAGCAGACATAAAATGCAATCAAAGACATAACCGTCACCTGTGTAGCCATGTCCTGTAATAAAGCTCCTCGAGAGATTTAAAACCTGTAAAGTGCAGTGCCATGACAGAGACTGCGTATATAGGATCAAAAGATTCCTCATAGAGAAGCAGCTAACTGAATCTTTAAGCAGTCTCCGAGAGCAGAGGTTTACATTACCTTGGTCCATGAATAGATCAAAGAATTTTTCAAATTTATGAAAGAAGGCACCAAGGATTTCCTCTCTTTTAAGAAGGGTTGATTCAGGAGACATGCCTTTTAGTACTGCATTTAAACACGTCGTCGGTTGCTCGTTGTCCACATTCAACCCCACACCTGCAAGAAGGTTCAGTTTTGTCATTTTCTCCTAAAACAAAAGGTAGAACAAGTCAAAGCAACAAGACTACGAGAAGTCATAAACTTGTGAAGAGTAATGCTTATTACCAACACTGACATGGAACTTCTTTGATCTATACGTAGAGGTACACAAAATGCCTCCAACCTTAAGACCATTCAAGTAGAGATCATTTGGCCACTTAATTTTAACATCAATGTACGGCAAACCCTGAAATTGATGAACATCAAATAAATTAGCTAATTTCTGATGCAATGGATCAAGAACACAACAAAAAGTTGTTTTCAAGAACATACCTTCTTGTCACATTCATCTTTCACTGCCTCAGTTACAGCAAGAGATACCACATACTGTATCAAAGGCACGATTCGACCATCTTCCATTTCTAGAGTAAAAGAATACATAAGACAACCCTTTGGAGATTCCCATACATTCTTTGTTCTGCCTGCATATTCATCAATTACACACACAGTTTCAATTCTCAAATCTAAATTCTACTTGCTTACTATACTATCAAATCGAAAAAAAAACTCTTACCTCGACCTTTAAACTGGATATCCGTGACACAAACTGAACCAACTGGAAGCTCAGAGAAATTACTGAAAGAAACTAAAAACAGATCTTTAACACACAAAAGGTAACCAACCTTAAAAGAGGAAACCAAAGAGATGGATTGCTTACTGAGAAACAACATCATGAGTGGAAGACAAGCGCGGAGACCAAATGAGAAACCGCCCAAACCGATGAGTTATAATCGAGTTCATAAAGAGTAAAAGATTGAAGGAATCATCATCTTTAACCAAATGCTTAGCCTCAGATTCTAAAAAGAGTGAAACTTTGGTATTATCCGCGAGTGTAAGTGAGTTCTTGTTCTTCAAACACTTTGCTATCTCAGTTTCCACAGAGGACTTCCCATACAAAACCAAGTTACAAGAAGCATCACTCTCCATTGCTAAATCAAACAAAACAAAAAAAATTACCAAAAGATTATCAATTGAATCAGTTTCAAACATGAATGAGCAATAAAAGACATCGAACCTGAGGCAGAGACAGGGAAAGATAGACGACGCAGAGGCTTGAGAGAAGTGAAACAACGCACGACTAAAATATTCAGTAGATGAAAATTAGATGAGGTTGTTAAACGAACTGCTTCCATTAAGAAAAAAAAAAAACACTATGAGGTAACCAAATCAATCATCTTGCTACTTCAAGTTGCAATTTTTAAATCAGAAAACAAGGATCTTGTCTTAAAATCAGCTAACCTGTTGTTAATCTGAGGTTTTAGTTTTTGTTGGAGAGATGCGAAAGAGAGAAGCAATGCTCAGATGGAGAAGAGAGCTGTGGCCAAGTCTGGGCCTGATTTCTTAAGATTTAGTTTAGCCCAACACAGGCCCATTTATAATGAGTTTTAGAATAAAGTCTCCCAAGTCTGGGCCTGATTTCTACTCACTTAACAAAGTAAAAAAACAAGAACTACATAAGACAACAGAAATCCGAAAACAATTTACAATATGATAAAGAACGGCTCTACCTTTCATTTTTTTTTTCTTTCTGTGAAGTCTAACGGTTCTACTAGTTTTACCTGATTGCTTCTCCAAACACGATTTTCATGTAATATTTCTAGCTAACCTTCTGTCAAAATATTAACCTCATGACTAAAATATAAGAATCCTCTAACTTTCTATTTTTTGATAAACCAAGAATCCATAAGTATCATTCGAATTCTAGAGCCAAATAACACTATCCACAACAACCCTAATCGAAAAACTTCAGATCAAAGGGTCCTTTACATGTCTTATTAATTAATACTAGGAGAAATAAGAGTTATAACCTTCCCTTCTCTCAAAAGATTTGCATGGTTCGGTCTTAACTATCAATGGAAGCATCTATATTTCAAACACACTATATTATTAAGGTACTTCTATGGATACAACGAGATTCATGATTACAAGGAAGATAAGAAAGAAAAGAAAAGAAAACCGCACCATTTATCTCACACATCACACATTTTGTTTCCAATTTCCAAACTTTAAAGTTTCCTCAACCAGAGATATCAATGGACTTAACCTCAGGCTTCCTCTCTGGCACTTTCGGCACCGTAACTGACAAGACACCATCCTCCATACTAGCCTTTACTTCCTCCATCTTCGCATTCTCCGGCAACCTAAACCTCCTCATGAACTTCCCACTCGACCTCTCTACACGGTGCCACTTATCATTCTTCTCTTCATTCTCACTGCTCCTCTCTCCACTTATCTGTAAAATATTGCCATCTTCAACCTCCACCTTCACATCTTCCTTCTTCAGCCCCGGTAAGTCTGCCTTGAACACGTGCGCCTCAGGTGTCTCCCTCCAATCTACTTTAGCGTTTGTGAACGCTGCCACGTCGTCCTTAGCCGGTGTGTTTGCCAATCCTTGGAATGGATCCCATACGTCAAGTGAAAATGGATCAAACACATTCGTTCGTCGACCTCCAAAAATGCTCGGAATTAGAGACATTTCTTCACTTCCTTTACTCTGCTTTGAGTTTTGCTTCGCTATGAACTCTTTGTTCTTTGTTGATTCAAACACATACGTGCCCTCGCGTATTTATAGGGAGCGAGAAGAAGAATCTTCTGCAAGTATCTTCAAAAATCAAGAATCTTCGTTTTTTTTCTTTTTAACGTTCGTATGTAAACGTAACTACTAGAATTCTCAGGTGCTTTCACGAAGTTTCGGTGCTGAGGATTGAGACAACGTGCAATTCATCAAGTAGGTGGGTAAACGCCATGCCGTTTTTGCGTCTATGGGCTTCGTTAATGGGCCTTACTATTGTAGCCCAATATTTTGGCGAAATTGAAAGTGGTTTAGATGAGGCTTAAAATTGCTAATTAAACTTCATCTTTTTTTCAAGGTAAGTTAGTTTAAAATTTTTTTGTCAACTGTTTAAATATTTTCTTTTTATAGAAAACTTAATCTGAGACCGCCATATGATCTATCGTAAAAAATTTCATTATTTTCTTAATATTTATTCAGTTAAATATAAAAAAAAATTAAAATATTTGAAGACTTATTTAATGTATAAATCCATCATAAAAATTATTGTAATTTACATTAAATTTTTAGTGTAAATGAAACTAACATGTTAAAACTTCAAAACGAAGTATAACCATTTAATAGTTTTAAAAAGTCACTTACCAATAAATTTGCATATACAAGTTCAGAGTTTAATTAATCTGAGAAGATATTTAAATTTCGAGAGAGTATTCTTAATCTCAACTGTGATCCATAATTTAAAATGATATTATAATTTTAAGAAATTATGTCACAAGTCGCCAAAAAAAAACATTAGAACATGCCAAAAAATAAACAACATGTTACATAATTTTAAATTATTTATTGTAAAATAATATAATGGTAATCTTTAACTTTATGATATTAAAAATATATAGAAAATAATGTTTGTCTAATATCTCGGACAAGAGACATTATCTACTCTGGTCTTGATATAACATATAATTAAATCTAAAATAAAATTATAATTGAGCTAATAGCGTTTAGCGTATATTGATAAAAGAAATATGTCAACTTGCAAGGTGGCATATGTTTCTCATTAAGAAATATCTTAAAGTATTAGAATAGATAAATCTGAAAAAATTAAATCCTAATTTATTTCCTTTTGTTTTCAAGAGTTGAAAATTTACATTGTTCTTTTAACTTAGATCGAAGATTTTGCTGCAAACATTTCACTAATATAAAAAAATGTTTGTATTTAATTTTTCTATAGAAAACTTAATTTATTTTGGGAAAAATTTCATAAAAAGTCTCAATTTACAAAAAGTGTTAATAAAAAACTTCAACATTGCATGTGTTGAAATAAATTATCGATTTTTAATTGACTTTTTAATTTAACTATAAATTCAGTTGATTTTTTCAAATAAAACATGTTAAGTCGTCCGACGAATTTTTTTGGCATGTATTTGTTTTACTTTCGAACTGTTAGTTATGTTTCCTTTTGTTTGGATGTAATTCTTTTCTTTTGATAGAATTTGAGGTTTAATTTGAATAAAAAATTATCAATTTTTCAAAAAAAAAGATTAGAAATCCTATAATCTTCCTTTAAATATTATGTTTTGATGATATCTCTAAGTGTGGTCTTCAAACTTTCTATAGTCAATATGACTTAATATTGTATTAGCACAGTTCGATTAAAGTCATTTGCCAAATATATAAGACCGATTGATAATGATTATTATTGTTGTTTATAAAAAGTTTGACTGTAATTTGGCTTTAGAAATTTTGGCCGTATAGATTTTGGTTTCTTATACTTTTGGAACCTATAAATAAATTATTGCTTAAAAATTGTAACTTTAATAATCACCAAATTTATGAGTTTTCATCAATATATCTTTTGTCAACGAGTTTTATAATTTAGAATATTTTAATAATGTGACAATAATAATTTGTATCTTTAGCTCGACTTCTGGTGTTTATCAACTACATTATGAACTAATATGTACAGATATTCACACATTCAATATTAATTGGTAATAGTACAAGAATCTAAAATGAGTAGTGCAAAAAAAAAAAAAAAAAAAAAAAAAAAAAAAAAAATGAGTAGTGCACATGCTGACACCTGAAATCACACGTGTGGAGATTATAGGGCCCATCAAAAACACTATGACATGAAAGAGCGTTTTGGAACCCATTACCAAAAAATAAAACATGAAACATTAACCGTCGATTATCGAGCTATATTTTGTTTGTACGCCGTTGGATTCTTCCAACCACCAAGAATAGTGAAACTGACTTGTGTCGGTGCATGGTTCTGCAAAAGTCTCGAATACAACAAGTAAAAAGAAAGTGATTGTTGCCCCCAAAAGGACAAAATCTTGTCCTTAAAGAGTTCACCAAAAATTTTAGAAAAAAATGTAGAGTGCAAGCGAGGAGAATGATGGCGTAATGCGTCAGCCGTCAGTGGATACTTATTAGAGAATTTGACAAGTGGATAACAATAAAAAAAAAATTTGTTAATTTGAAGAAACAAAGCTTAGAAAATATAGTTATTTTAAGAGAAATTTATTCAATCATAAAGTTAAAATTAATTCTTTAAGATTTAAATTTCATATTTAATATCATTTTTAAAAATCTATTTATGTGAATTTCAAAATCTTCGTAAATATATATTGGATTTCGATTCTAATATTATGAAACTTCAAAGAAATTTTATTTCAAAGGACTTATAGAAAGATTTTAATTTTTTTTTAGTTTTGAATAACACTTAATTTTAATGATTTACAAATTTAATATCAAATAACACCAGATTTTAAAAAATGAATTAAAATCATTAATTGAATAACAGTAGATTAGTGTTGGATTTCAATTCTATTAAAATCCATGATTGAATAACATCCCATAATTAATCAACTTTTTGTGCTAAAGAGGAGTGTATTGGATAAAAGATTTGGAGTGATTTCTATTAAAATGACAAATCCTATGTTATTCAAACATGAATTTCAAATTTTTTCTAAAATCAAGTGTTATTAGATTAATGATTTTAAAATGTACAATCAGATCCACTGTTATTAGAAACATTTTAAGTAATATTTAAAATAATATGATAAAATAATAATATTTTAAAACTTTTCTAGTTAAATATATGGTTCCATCAATATTATAAATTAATAGTTATATAAATTTATCAATAGATACATTATACATAGATTATGTAAACTAATTTAGTGTAATATGACTCAAGTGTTGTTTGTTTTCTTATATTTGCATTAATTTTTGGTTTAGTTCATTTCTAATATTTTACTTCATCTAATTTGTTTGTGTTATTTTCTTTTAGAAAGATGTGGATTATAACGAAAAAAATCTTTTCAGATATTTTTTTTTTAATTACAAATTTAGTCATATCTCTCTATAAATTTATCGATAATGTTTAAGATATTAAATTATTGATAGACTAATACCTTCTTGATTTATTTTCTTTAGTATATTTAATATATATATATTCTTGATTTCTTTTCATTATTATAAGCAAATTGTGTGGACAAGCCATTATCAACACACAAGCAAAAAAGAAAAGAAAAAAAGAAACTTGAATTTTTTTCAAGACTCTGGATAAATTCCGAGCTTCCAAAAATTATCGGTCTTTTATGTTTTAAATACAACTTTTTTATGTTGTTGTGGTTGCTATGATTTTATTTTCAACGACTTTAACTTATATCTGATGCATTTACTATTTTCAATTCTCAACTGCTTGCATCAAAAATATATTATGACTTTACAAAGAAAAATGAATAATTTATGAAGGAGAAACTATGAAATTATGAATGATGATGAGATGCTGACAATGTGCGTGAACATTTCTCCGCGTCTTTCCCACTAATACAACAGTTTTGTGTGTGTTTTCTTTCTTTTCTTCTCAAGCTTTTGTCGTGTTATGTTCGAAGAATGAATCCACAAAATTTAACCACTATAAACATATTAGGAAACCGGCGAAATTCATTCAAAGATTAGAGAATCTTTACCAATATCTATTAGAACCAGTGACATCTTATAATTATTCTCTAAACAGTCGTCTCAAATTCTATAATATTGATTAAAATTATGATAAAAGAGGTGAAAGAATCTATTATCCATCAACATGTATCCCCATTCATTGCAACCATCACAGCGTGATTAAAGCCATGGGTACAACGTAAGATATGTATGACAGTGTCTCAATCACCACCATTTTTGATAATGTTTTGGTTGGAAATGACTTCTATAAATCAACCTACACAAACACTTTCACGATAACCAAACGAGTGCAGCGTTCTGTGTTGGGGTGAAGTTTCAAAAGTATGAGTAAAATGCTCATCATAAAACTGATTAAGCCTTTTGTGACCTAGAATTGATTTGAAGTCGAACCTAAATTGAGATCGATCAACGGTATATCTGGTCTTGTGTGAGCTGTTTACTGACTCCATTCATGCATGCAAGATTTGTTTTCATAAAAACTGAGAAAGAAGAAGCAAAATAAAGCCAAAAGAGAAACAATGTTGCTTTGAATTTTCTTAAAGTAGAAAATAACTTATTCTTTGTGATTCGTTATTAGTGGCTTGTGACCAACTTTTGACATTTTACCTAATGTTTAACTTTATTTCTTAAATATTTATTGGCTTTTGAAAAAACAAAAATGGGACATGAAAGTTTGGGGCTTTTGGACTTATTTTCTCGAATACTATTTATAAGTACTACTAATTCATATGAAGTACTAAATAGCTTTTGAGATTTTAACACATCATATATATATGTGTGTGACATTAAAAATACTTTTTCTCATTAAAATATTGAAGTTAGCGATATAGCAATTTGTGTATTACAAAATAAGACGGACAATAATTAAAAAATACGTGATATATACTTTCGCGAATACTTTCACATCATTTTCCGATAGCCTTTTTTATTATTCTCAATCAAATCTGCAAGACTTTGGCCGGATCAATACTCAAGTATCAAGTTGTAATTTGTGCTTTCCCCACTATGACTTTTTCATTCGTCCGATGTGAGTTACGACGGAGATTTTTTAACGGCACCGTTAAATACTCATTTTGTTCTCGCCACGATACTATATCTACTCTCGTCTTATTTTTCAAAAGGCGGGCAACACAAATCTCCTATTTTTCTTATTTTCGTGTTTCAAGAACAAAGTCGTACACTGAAAAATAGGTGTGGCATTTTGTGAGCAAGTTCTAACATTTTAACTAACAACATTAGCGTCAATGTCAATTTCGACCATAGTTTTGTAGTGAAATTTATAAACTTTACGTTGGTTAGTATAGTTTTTATGCACAGTACATAATTCATATATATATATTGCATAATCGGTCATTATAAAATCTTTTAATTGCGTAATCGATCGTTTTTCACGTGTAAACATTTGTTGCAATTTGCAAATTAAAGTAACTTTGTGTAATTTGAACATTTGTATGTTTGACTTTAGAAATATTTTTAAATATTTTAAAATCTAGTATGGAATAAAATCTTTATCGAAATACAATCATAAATTAGAAAGAAAAAAAAAACTACCCGATTTCAACTAATATTTGATAATATTTTATGAATATGCATAATTTTGACCAAAAAATATTCAATAGTGCAATATTACATGATGAATTTTGCTTAAATTTCCAAATTAATTAAAAATTTCACTAATATACCCCTTAGTTTCCATGTAATCTTCTACTTTAAATATGATTCCAATGTAGCTAACGACCCAAAGTGTAACATACTCTTCTCACCAAACTTAATTGTATATTCACCTTCAGAATAATAATAAAACAAAAAATATGCTATAGTACTATAATTGGCGGAAAAAAAAAAAAAAAAAGCTATAGTACTATAATTTTATTATTTCTTTTAAAAAGAAGTGCGTATGAAACCGACACCTCTGAGACAAAACAAAAATATTAAAAAAAAAAAAAAAAACAGAGTGGTAGCAGTGCAAAAAGGGCCAAAATTTTGGTATTGAGAAGAGTGTGAAGAGAGCCAAATTATTCTTTCAAAAAGCCTTTACTCTGATAACACCACTTTACCTCACGCGCTTTCGGATCCATCTCTTTGACCCGCCCATAGATCCGGATCCACTATCCTCCTCCCGGGTCAGTCTTTATTTTCTCAATTTCTTCTCTTTCATAAAAAGTGCCTCTTCTTCTACTTCCGGGTCTTTTCTTTTTTTCCAGAAATTTTCGATACAGATTGAGAGATTACAAGATCCATGTAAGAAACCCATCTCAGATATTGATTTTCATCAACCAAAAAAGCTACTCTTTTTTGAAACCCAGAAATTTAATTTTCACCTTCTCAATCACAAAATAGTTTTTCTATTTTATTTATAGTACTTTTAATGCAGTTTCTTATGTATATATGAGTCAAATTTGGTTTCTTTAGAAAATTTTTTGGTCTAATTTTACCAAAGTTCTAATCTTTTTTTTTTTGTTTTTGTGCAAAACCAAAGTTATAATCTTTGCATGTTGTTTCTTCATAGTTCATTTTTTTTTAATATATACATTTTTTTAAGGATGAAAAAATTAACATTTTCTTTTGTCCGTTGCAAATATTTCTCCGCTGATTTCAAGTTGAGGAATTTAATTATGGAATATTTTGGCATATTCTTTGAAAATCTCTCATTCTTTGGTTCATTCTAGATAATTTAATTTTGTTGTATAATTTTTTTTTAAAAAAGAGTAACTATAATACCAAAAAGTACGGTACTTTTGATTAAAAAACTTATCTGATGCTAATTAATCGGCGTAATTTATATTAATGAATCTTGTTAAGAAGTTGTATTAGTCTCTCTGATGAGTTTTTTGATTTTATGAAACAGATTGAAGAAGAAACCGTAAAATGCTGAAGACAAGAGCAATGTTTCCTCACAAAGATCAAGCAATGTCTCTGTCTTTGGATCAACAATCTGATCTTCTTGTCGGACTCAACAACACCAGACCGATCACTAACCCACTTGCTTTGAGTCTTTTGATTGGTCTGAACAACAACAAGAAGTGTATCTCAGATTCTGATTTTGTCCGGAGTCCCAAATCTCCTCTTGAATTTAGGATCTTATCTACAATGGCTGATTCATTTTTCCTCAGATCTCCTAGATCATCACTCACTGCTCATCTTAACTGTTGTTGTGGTCCTGCTGCTAAAGTTGGTTTAAGCATTGTTGATTCTCTTGGTGATGATCGGTGTTTGTTACCAGATGTTGTGTTTGGACCCGCCTTGAGGATCAAATGTTCGGAGGTTAAGATGTTCCCTGTAGCCAAGTCTATGAAGATTGAAAAGGAAAGATCTGGTGTTGTTTTCGAAATCGGTGATAACTCTTCTGAGGATGAGCCGATTGGGTTGAGAAACCGATCCTTTTCTGCGAATGATTGTCTGCCAAAAACCCGAGTTCTGTCGCGATCCAAGTTGGGCGCAGAAGGGGACTTCCCGGGGAGTGGTTCTGACAATGCATTCTCCTCTTGTCTATCTGAGGATGACATGGAGGATTATACTTGTATCATTGCACATGGTCCTAACCCGAAAACCACTCATATTTATGGTGACCGAGTTTTAGAGTGTCACAAGAATGAGTTGAAGGGAGATGATGATTATAAAGAGAAGAATATCGAATCGGAGTTTGATAACTTCCTCAGCATCTGCAACTTCTGCAACAAGAAACTCGGAGGTGACGACGACATATATATGTACCGGTGCGTGCTCCTTTTCCAATACTATCTACCATATATAGGATGATTATGAGTTGCACAAGTTAGAGGATGTTAAGTACAGATTTGGGGTTTCATAATAGTATGAGGAACATGGTTTAGAGGTTTCGAAAAATCTAAACTTGTGATGTTTGTGGTTATGAATTGCAGAGAGAAATCATTTTGCAGTGCAGAGTGTCGTTCAGAGGAGATGATGATAGATGAGGATGACCAGGAAGAGCCGTGCATAGCTATGCATGAATCTTTAAAGAAGCTCTTCTGAACAAGAAGCAGCTATGACGATGGTCATGGGACGAGCTTTTATAGACCCGACCATCGTCTTTTAACTACCTAAAGACTTATTATATATGTATTGACTAGTACTGTCATGCCAATGTTAGGTAACATGTGGCATTAAACCCATTCATCCGTCTACAAAGAGCTGTGTTTATGCACATCTATTAGCAGCTGCAGCAGCCACGGATGGATTGGTCGGCTTTCTTTTTGTATATTTTGTAATGGGTTTCGTCTTTTTTTTTTTCTTTTTTGGATGTCGAAGTTGAAGGATACTACTAAGATCTTAAAATAAGTTTCGTAAAGAGAGTGTTGGTTGCGAAAGGGATTGTGTGACCACTCCATCTTCTTCTGAGTCCTGGGTTTGAGGGTCTTTCTATGGCCTCATAAGTTTGTATGAAGATTTTAATATAATAAGTAATATTTCTATAATGTTACAATTGTATCTTTTGCAAACAGAAAGCAGCATCTTCGGATTCAGCAGCTGGTCATTACAATTATTAGTCAATCTTGTCTCCAACTGCAAGAGAAAGCCAGTTTGGTTCTGGCTTTATGAATTTGTTGTAAACACATAACTGAACTCCAATACATTACTGAGAGCAAGACAGTGGGAAATGAATAAGAAAGACAACGTCTTTTAAAAAGATTGTGTAGAACTCTTTCTAACTATGATACAAATTTCGTAGAGGACATAAAGCACTGTGCTCGTAATCTCAATCTTGGTCTACAAAAAAAAAAGACAAAATTAGGTTAAGTTATTTAGCTATTTTGTAAGTGGTTTGGTGGGTGTTACTGAGGGAGGCTATTTGTAACACCAATGTTATGTGGTAAGAACACCGGGTCATTTTGTTTTGAGGAAAAATGGATCATGGCCAAGGAATGACCGAGTAATGAATAAAGCAAAGAAACAAGGCATGAGATTGTTGGATGTACAACGACAAAATGGTGGTCGTGAGAATATGATCGAGTGACTCCGAATATGAGACCATATTAAGTTGAGGCCAACCAGTGATCGATGGACTTACTTGAATAACTTAGTCACGGTTAATTAAAGAGTTGCTCGGAAGACATGGACTAACAAATAATGGACCTAAAAGTTTCCATCATGAAATGTAGCTACTAGCACATCAAATTTGAACTTTCTAATTTGATATACTCCATCCCCTAAAAATCAAAATCTTTTTACCTAAGAACTAAATGCGATATTTCCTCTAAGATCACTACCACCAAATTTATCTATATACAACTTCCAGTTACCTTTTGCATTAACTTGTCAGTGGCGAGAATACATGTGGATAGTATGTGTGATAATCGAGATATTTCTAAACGAGGAACTATATCGATGAATATGTCATTGTCGATGCACAAAGCATCCAAAACAATTGGCGACTAAACAACTCACACAACATATAATTTCTATCTCTATTTTTAATTAGCATAGTTATTAGAATATACTTTTCATCGAATATATTGTTAATCTCTAAGTGCCTCGCAAGCTCCATGAATCTTCACATCTTTACCACCTCAACCATTAGGGATACCACTAGCATTACTCACCAGCTGCAATTACGTCATCAAAGCATCATGGCCACCAGCCCACCACATTGCTTTCTCATTGATGTACAAAGCAATGCGGATATGAATGCGGATGTGTTGAGTTTGGTTATCCGAATTCTCTTGTTGAGTTTATTTACTCACATTTCTATATATCTAGTAGGTAGAACCGGACGCGAAGATGTAAAAGCTCCAAACCCAAAGAATAAGGGCTGGTTCATTAGTATTAGTGAGATATTAAGAGGAAAACAAAAAAGAAGTGATGGAGAGAGGAAGTCGAACACCTTACCTAAAGAACACTATTGCAGTCCTTCACCACTCGAGTAGGTGGCCAGAATGCACGAGGGCGGGGTTCGGTTGTTTAGGAGCTTGTTGGGTGTCATCTTCCGGGCCGTCTTTTCTTTGGTTTTATGGAGTATGTTTGACATTCTAAGTTGTAGTATTGAGGCATTATCATCTCTTCTTTAAATTCTTCATATTTCCCTTGGGGGTTTTGTTGTTGTTCAAACTTTGTTTTTATCTTTGACTTTATGAAGAAATGTTTTAATATGTAGACTTGGTGAACTGATAAACTAACCATCATTTTTTAATATGTAAGAGTACTAACCTTCATTTTTTTAAAACAAATGTTACATTCACCTTTGAGTGCTTATATTTTTAACTTGAAAGCACATCTCAATTTGTTAAAACTCAAAGTCAAATCAAACCTTTTGTTGAAATTCAATGTAAAATCATTAGACAGATAGTATCGAATTTATTCTTATTAGTATTTAGTTATAATGATCAAACGAATATAGGAGATTTGCATGAAATATTGGAATCCGGGATAACGGGTAGTGGATTGTATTATATTCTTTATGGTGACATAAAAGACACAAGAAACAATCTCTTTTTTTTCTCCTGGCGGCACTCGTCCGAAATCAGACGGAAATCTAGGAGATCTTTAGCCCAAGGGCTTCTTGTCAATAACTATTAGACGAATTGGAATCAACTAGTCACAACACTTTACTCTTCTAGCCTGCTCGGCTCAATTTATTTCTCCGTCGGTATGTCTTTCAAGTGACTTTACACCATCTTTGGCGTGAGAGGAACGCTAGGAGACATTTAGATATCCATTCACCACAAACCCGACTTATCAATCTCATTGATAAGAATGACTTCAACCAACTTAGTTCAATTAGAGATGAAGGAGACAAGGACGGTCTCTCGCTGTCATTTGCCACAAGATCTTAGACGTAACCAAGAACATCTCCAGCTTCATTTTGAAATACTCTCTATTGTAACTCAGTAGCAAACATATGTTGCATTCATTGTAAAAAAAGTTTTGTTGGTTGAATACAATTTTACATTTATTCAAAAGAAAAAAATCAACAAACAAATAACACAATAGATTGTCAAACATTTTAAATAAGTGATCCAATAACACTTCTTTTTTTCTTGGATACTCAAATGAATTGAAATATACAAATTTATAACCTTCTATAATGTCTTGGTTTGTATAATTTATTTTACCCATGTGATCCATACTAACACATGGTTTTACTTGGATTTTCAAACTTATTTGGATTTTGAAATGTATCTTATAATTAAGTAAATGCATTCAGATTTTCACAACAATTAAAATACATTATTTAACTTAGAAAAGATTTAAAACTAAAATAACGTTGTTAATTACTTGTTTTTGCTAGTAAATTCCAAACAAGGAAGATTGGTGTTTGAAAGGTTAAATTAAAACTTTACCAAGTGCCAATAGCTTAATTGGTAAAGACTCTCGTGCAAAGCCTAGACTTCTGCCGGTTCGAGTAGCGTTTGGGAGGGGACCATATAAAATATTCTGACCCCTGTCTTGAAATAATGTACGATCTAGACCAAAACCTCTTAGTTATAAAAAAAGAGGATTAAAACTTTTGTTGCTTTTTTCAAAGCTGGCAGTACTTTAATATTCAGGATTTTTTTATGCGTTATTTCATGTACATATGCTTTTTTTCTTTCAACTAAATATTATATTAAAGCAACACACTTTGCCTAGTTTCCCCGTCTAAAGAAAATGAGGTTACAAATTATACATAAACAAATCTTGTTGTAGAAATCCGGACTAAACAATTTACTTTAGAATCGAAGGTGAGAAAACTTAAAAATAAATTAGATAAATAAACTCGAATCAAAGCAAATTTACCTTGATAATTGGAGAAAGCCTAATGATAATCCGGAGACTGAGTAATAATAACTAATTCCAAATAATTTTATTTAATAAATATGAATGTACATATATTACAAATACTATATTCTAAAAAAAATTCAAAAATAATTTATCGCGAGTATTTTGAACATTACTGAAACAGATGGGAAAACAAAAAGCAAAAAAGATTGTCAGTTACACAATACATGCTATATACACCATGTACCTGACAATCCCTTTTTGAAACAAAAACAAGTATTAAAGGTAGAAGAAGAGTAATGAGAAGTGAAAGCATCCAAACTCAACGGTCCAAATTCCTCAACTTCTGTTGACCTCTCGTCTAACAAGACAAGATTCTCCATTATTCCTCCATTATCTTCTTTACAATGTAAGATGAGATCATTCCTGCATTGTCTTTTGACTTTTCTCTTCAAATTCAAGATCCTCATCACCTTAGCATAACATTTTGTGTGCATTTTAAACCAGTGCCGGCTCTACCCATGTGCGGGAGTGCTCATGCACAGGGTCCAAAATTTTTTTGTCTTTTTTTAACTAAATTTATTAAAAATTAGGGTCCAAATTTTTTTTCTATATATAAATACATAGGAAATTAGGGCAAATTTTTTTTTTCAGCTCAGGGTTCTTAATTTTTTTGAGCCGGCCCTGTTTAAACCTCTCATCTAGCTACATTTTATTATGCATTTTTAATGTACATATACTAAAAAGTATTTATTTAATGAAGTAAAATTCCAAACATAACATATCGTGTGTATACAAGCACAGAACAAAGAGAGAAAAGGGAAAAAGAAAAGATATCAAGATATGTACGAAGGAGAATAATAATAAGAAGTTAATGCCTCCAAAGTGGCAAAGGGTGGAGTCCAAACTAAACGTCCAAAATCACAAGTCACAAGATAATGGGGTCGGGATTACCAATTCTCTTCCTTATATTAATTTGATCATTCCTTTAGCCATCTCAACACTCAATCCAGTTATATACTCATATCACAAACAATTGGTACATTAATCTTTTAATCTTTATAAGTAAAACTTGATGATTTTCAGTGTAGTGCGTGGAAAGAATTATGTCTTACGTAATTGATGAAGTTTTGTTAAAGATTATTTATGGCTTTATGATGTAATCAATTTTTTTTATATATAACGTAGGCAATCCTGCAAAATCAAAAGTAATACACAATCTAACCTATCGTCATCACCATCAAGTTTGTGAAATATATAGAAACTCTCGCGACGAGGAATTGTAGCCAACCTATAGAATTTTGAAAATCTAATAGTGTCATTTTGAGAAAAATATGAACGTTGAAGAAACAAGATATGCAAAGATTATACTTTCTCTGTTTCACAAAAATGTCATTTAACATGTTTATACAAATTAAGAAAACTTGATAAATTTCTATTATACTTTTTATAAATACATTAAATAAATTTCTCTTTCCAACCAATAAGATGAAATAATTAATATGGATAAAAATGACATTTAGTCTTACAAACTATACTAAAAATACTAAACGATATTTTTAGTGAAACAAAAATAAAACTTTAAAACAATATTTTTTTGTGAAACAAAATTAACATTAAAATAACATTTTTATTTTTTTGATAGCGACTTTTCCATTGCCTGTTCAAATACTCAATAATAAATACAGAGCTTTTATTGTAAATTGAGTTGACTTTTGTTATATAAATATATTTCCACAAATGTATAATTTATATTGCTTAGATTTATATAAATCACCTGCAACTTCAGGTGTTAACTGAAGATATAAAAATATGTGCCAGTATTAAATTCTTACAAAAATTAGTTGACCATAAATAAATTCATAAAGATATGAAGGATAATTTTGATAAATTAAGGCAAATTTTTTCTAAACACACAATAAAGAATCAGATACTGTCACCGTCGAGGTTTTGTTTTATTGTCAACGCTTTGATGTTTTGATACGATATAAAGAGATACGCTTATTGCTCTGCTTCGATACAAAACTCAAAACACAAATAAACAATGGAGTCTCAGTCTCAAAGTGGTCAACACGAAACCCCGAAACGTTCTCGGTTCACCGGAATGTTCCATAAACTGAAGACGAATCTTGTTTTCCGGTCGAAGCTAGCCGAAATAAACGGTGCAATGGGTGATCTTGGTACTTACATACCAATCGTCCTCGCTTTAACTCTGGCCAAGGATTTGGATTTAGGCACAACACTGATATTCACCGGGATATACAACGCGATAACCGGAGCGGTTTACGGTGTCCCCATGCCGGTACAACCGATGAAATCGATTGCAGCCGTGGCGATTTCGTCGAGTGCTGAGGATTTCGGTATTCCGGAGATTATGGCTGCTGGAATTTGCACCGGAGGGATCTTGTTCGTGTTAGGGATCTCTGGTTTGATGCAGCTTGTGTTCAATATAATTCCTTTATCAGTTGTTAGAGGAATTCAGTTGTCACAAGGCTTAGCCTTTGCCATGTCTGCGGTTAAGTATATAAGGAAAGAGCAGAATTTTTCAAAGTCAAAGAGTGTTGGTGATAGGCCATGGTTAGGGCTTGATGGTTTGGTTTTGGCTTTGGCTTGTGTACTGTTCATAGTTCTTGTTAATGGAGATGGGGAAGAAGAAGAGGAAGAGGAAGAGGGAGATAGAGATGGTTCAAGAGGAAGAAGAAGACGGGTTTCGATAAGGAAGGTTATAGCTAATGTGCCTTCTGCTCTGTTGATATTCTTGTTAGGTGTTGTTTTGGCATTTATAAGGAAGCCTAGTATTGTACATGACATCAAGTTTGGACCGTCGAAGATGAAGATAGTGAGAATCAGCAAAAAAGCATGGAAAAATGGCTTTTTGAAAGGGACTGTCCCGCAGTTACCTTTGTCTGTTCTTAATTCTGTTGTGGCTGTGTGTAAGCTGTCGTATGATCTGTTCCCCGAGAAGGAGTTCTCGGCTGCATCGGTTTCGATGACTGTTGGGCTGATGAATATGGTGGGGTGTTGGTTTGGGGCAATGCCTACTTGTCATGGAGCTGGTGGGTTAGCCGGGCAGTACAAGTTTGGTGGGAGGAGTGGTGGGTGTGTGGCATTGTTGGGAGTGGCTAAAATGGTGCTAGGGTTGGGCTTAGGAGGTTCATTGGTGGGTATATTGGAGAAGTTTCCGGTTGGTGTGCTCGGGGCATTGCTTTTATTTGCAGGGATAGAGCTTGCAATGGCGGCTAGAGATATGAACACAAAGGGAGATGCATTTGTGATGCTTATATGCACAGCGGTCTCTTTGGGATCAAATAATGCCATAGGCTTTGTGGCTGGGATTCTTTTGTATGTGGTTTTGTGGATGAGGAACTACGGGCGAGCCAAGCCGATCATCAGCCTTCCCCCGCAATCCGATGAACATGCTTGAAAGTCTTTGTTGTGTTAGTGTTCGCTCTTCTTTCTTCTATGCTTTCGAATAAAAAGTTCAATACTTCTTTGAACTGCATATAACTACTCTGAATGATTCCAAATAAATCAGTGTACCATGTTTGTGATTACTTTTTAATAAAGAAAGTGAAGAGATGGACCAAATTGCTCTGTAGTCATCAGGTAAAAAGATGAATATTTGATTATCTCACAAAAAAGCTAATAGAATAATTACTTACAATTCACATCTTCACATATTTTCTCTTCTTTACTATATGACTACCACAAAAGCTCGACCTCTATTGTTTGAGTCACAGTTAGTATAATTGGTGCTTCAAGACTAAACAGCTATTTAAGGCCTCCATATTGAATGTGATGAGAGTTTGTAATGGAGAATTGTATATTTACTCTCATAATCATAAGCTTTAGGTAACATATATTTACCTTCAAGAATTGTATATTTCCCGCACAACCAAATACGATGTTATCATTCGAACCCTTAGTAAGTCAATTGCGGACATAATGAGGTGTCATTTCAAGAATTTTAAAATTTGCAGGAAATAAGTTAATTAACATCATTATGATAAGTAAAATAGTTTAGTAAGTTAATTATGTACATAATGTGGTGTCATATCAAATGCTTTGAATATTCTTAAAAATTAAGTTAATGAGAAAATCTATGACTTAAAATTACTGTACACATTTTAATTCTCGTATAAGAAAATATAAAAAAGAAAATTAACCAAATAGGCCATTTATTACGGTTCTTGTATGAATTTTTCGCAATCTATTAAATGGAGTTGTAAAACTTTTTCAAGCTAGTTTATATTGGCTTATATTATTTTACTTTGAACACAAATTTGAAGAGCATGACAGTTTCTTTAAGTATTTTACTATTTTTCCAATCTAAAGGGGTGTCATTCGATTCTAGTTTAAAAGAAATTTTGATAACTTTAATAAAATCATAGAAAGTAAAAAATGAAAGATTCTAAACGATTGCTAGAGAGTTTTCTATAATCATGTTGATTAGTTTTTTTATAATCTCGTAAAGTTGTCCAAACAATTTCTCTATTTTTGATGATATTTTCATGATTTTATTTTGTGAAGAAATTGTATAAAATCATAAACTAATAACAAAATAACTTAATTCATTAACCATCAGAGATTCTTTTGTTTTAGTTTAGTAACACAAAAATTTTATTGACTTTATAAAATTCTGAATTCAATAACCCCAGATTTATGAAAATTTTAGATGATTTTTTTACAAATAAAAAACTAATAACACCAAACTTTAATAAAATTTTGATTGAATAACAACAGATTCTTCTTTTTTTTTTTTGGTAAGAGAGGGGGAGACAATTTTCTCTTACCATTTATTAAAACGTAACTATTTATATGAGGGAGACAACAACATATTATATATAACATTTGTAGTCATTAAAACACTATTTATATCACAAACCAATAACACCCCCTAAATCATGTGTATTGGACATAGTCATCGTATAAGAGAATATAGAAAAAAAATATTAACCAAATTAGTCATTTTAGTCAGTGTGATAAGTGACATTAGTTAAGTAAATAAATTATGTACATACAGGTATCATATAAGTTATTTAAAATTTCGCGGGAAATAAGTTAACAAGATACTATAACGAAATTTCGCGGGAAATAAGTTAACAAGACTTTTTCGAGTTACTTTCTATAGATTAAGCAAAGTTAAAAATTATGGACATAATGATGTATCATATAAGTTATTTAAAAATTCGCGGGAAATAAACTAACGAGATAATATAACGAGAATAAGCGGGAAATAAGTTAACAAGACTTTTTTCGAGTTACTTTCTTTAGTTTTAAGCAAAGTTATCTCGGTCAATTTCTTGCAACCTTTGTGAAACCTTTTCAAGTTAGTTTATGCAAAACTATTCAACTTTTGAACCCAAATTTGAAGAGCATGAGACTTTCTTTAAGTATTTTACTATTTTCCCAATTGAAATCCTTTGTATTTCCAATAGTCTTTTAACCGGCAAAATTGTTGGGCTAAACTGTATCATCCAAAAACACATTGATCAAAAACAACAAACCATAAATTGTTAGGTACCAAAACGTAAATTTACATAACCCATATAAATTCAGAGACACGAGCTTTTTAATGGCTTCTCTCCTCGCGTTATCTCCTTTGTCGATTTAGCCCTAACCTATACGGCTGCTACATCCAGATTTCCTCATCCTTATTAGGGACGAACCAAAACCCTAATCCTATCTTCTTCCTCCTCCTATAAATCAATAACAGTTTCTTCTCTCTTGTCTCTGATTTTGATTCATGATTTCTCATCTCGAACCCTAATTTATACATCCATCGGGTGTTACTGTTCTTTATCTGGGCAATCAGTGGTTAGTCAAAAGTCTAGGATTTTCATATAAAGTTTTGATTTTGCGTTGAAATCGATCGAAACCCCGATTTCATATTTCGTCTCTGTTTTTGCTTTTATCTTTTAGGTGTTTTTGTTCCTTTTGTTTATCTGTCGAGACTTCTAGGTGAAATCGAAGCTTGTTTGGTTTATCTCGATCTTGGTTTTAGCTGAATCGTGTGTTAAGATGGCTGGAGGTGGAAACAGGAGAGATGAAGGATCGATCACGATCCAGAGTACCAATTTGTTTGCAGCTTTGGACACTCGTAAGAAGAAGAAGAAGTCAGGGAAGAGCAAAGGGTCTTCTAAGTCACGAGAGCCAGAGAAGGAGCCTGAGCCTCAGGTCTTTTGGGCACCTACTCCGTTGAAAGTTAAGTCTTGGGCTGATATTGATGATGACGATGATGATGATGACTATTATGCAACCACTGCTCCTCCTCAGTCTGGTTGGAGCACTTCTGTGCCTTCCCATTCGGATTCGAAAGACGTTCATGTTGAGGTCAGAAGTCTAAACAATTTATGATTTTTTGTTGTGATTCGTGAATTGGTTGTGATTAGATATGATGGTTCTGTGTCTATTGGTTAACGATTCTCTTTGTGATTTGGGAATTCTGAAAGTTGGTTTCTGTTCTACTCTTATGCTTATGCTTATGGCTCTAGTTAGTTATTACAAAACTAGTTTGTGTTTGGTGTTTATCTTCTGAGAGAAGAGGATTTGTTATTTTTGCTCATGTTGCTTTACCCCTCTTGAATGTTTTCGTTTTTGTGTTACCTATGTTTTGTTAGCATTTGGCTATGTTAGCATTTGGTTGTGTTAGCATTTGGATGTGAGACTGACTTGTTTTAGCGTTAGTTCTTGTCCAGATTTCGTTTGATTTTCTTGGTTTCTGATGGGATTATCTTGGTTTGATTGTCAGGAAAGTGAAAGTGAGGAAGATATTCTTGATGAAGGTGATGATGATGTGGAGGAAGAGCAGGAACAGGAAACAGAGGTGCAGGTTCATCCAGAGCCTGAGCCTGAGGTGAAGAAGGCTCCTGAAGTTCCTGCACCTCCTAAAGAGGCAGAGAGGCAACTTTCCAAGAAAGAGAGGAAGAAGAAGGAACTTGCTGAGCTTGAGGCTTTGTTGGCTGATTTTGGAGTTGCCCCCAAGGAGAATAATGGCCAAGAAGAGTCTCAAGGTACTCTTGTTTTCAATTCTGACCTCTTTAATAGTACTAGTTGCAACTAATTGTTCCAGGCCATTGTGCTCTACTGTATTGCTGTATTCTCTTTTCTAATGTTTTATGTTGTGTCACTATCTTGCTGAGAAAATCAGTATGTTTTGATCTGTCTAGCATTTTGCTAATTCCGATACATTGCATGTTCGTTTACAGAGGCTAAACAAGAGAAGAAAGAAGATGTCAATGGAGAGGGAGAGAAGAAAGAGAATGCAGCAGGTGGGGAGTCAAAGGCATCTAAAAAGAAGAAAAAGAAGGATAAGCAGAAAGAGGTAAAAGAATCTCAAGAGCAGCAAGCAAACAACAATGCCGATGCTGTAGATGAAGCTGCTGGGTCTGAACCAACTGAGGAAGAAACTCCAATTGATGTCAAAGAAAGGCTGAAAAAGCTTGCATCCATGAAGAAGAAGAAGTCAGGCAAAGAGGTGGATGCTGCAGCTAAAGCTGCTGCGGAGGAAGCAGCTGCAAGACGTAAGAAGCTGGCCGCTGCAAAGAAGAAGGAGAAGAACCACTATAACCAACAGCCTGTGCGGTAAATCCTGAACCACCACCATTTTGATCTTGATGGAAATGCAAATATGAACATGTATTTCGCCGTATATTGTTCATATGAGTCTCTGTCCTAATAAATCTTTTGAAGGGTCTGGTTCTTAGAGTTAAAGACATTGAATCCTTTTTCTAGTCGTATTACAATGAACAGGCTAAAGACAAAACTTCTCTCTGGAAATTTTCTTTTCTTTTTGAACACTTTTGTTTTTTAATATCAGACCTTTTAGGTTCATTATGTCTTCAATCATCTTCTTTTGTATGGTTTGATGATGTTACTTTTTTCTGTTTTCATTCAGTTTCCTGTGTTTTGATTCATGCCTTGTCACAAAATCTTCTGTCCATTTTATCTAGGGATGGTAAATAGTCAAATATTGAATTGATAAATCAAGTACAAGGTTCTTTGGTTAGATGTTCCAAATTGATTGCCCATTTGAGGGGGAAGGAATTTTCATATTTGCAAATCAGGAATGATAGAGTGATGATCGGTTCTTGATAAAAATCCCAAATCATTTGGTTTCTCAACCAAGATCAACTTCGAAAAAGGTGGACTAGATTATCAAATATAGGATCATATATATGAGGTCGACCAGTGGAAACAACCAAAATTGGGTGGTTTCATTTCTTCTTTCTTTTTTTGATCGAAGAAATTCGGTTTTAACTTCGGATTTGGTTTGGGTTCGGTTTATTTGGGTCTCGTAAAACTCAACCGAAGTTAGTTTGGTTTAGTTTGTGTTTGGGTCAGTTTATATTCGGTTTGGTTTGGTTTTAGTTCGGTTCGGTTTTAGTTCGGTTCATAAAATCAATTAATGTAACAAAACAAAATTCATTAGTTCATTGGCGTTTGAACTTTGAATTTAATGATATATTAAAGTAAGCAAGAAATTCAAGTTTTAAATTTAAATTGAATAATTCAAATAAACCATGAAAAGAATTACATATTTAGTTATTTACAATTTTATTAATAGAATTAATTAATTAATTAAAGAAACACATTGGGTTATCAGTTCGGTTCGGTTTAAAAGCGAACAGAAACGACCCATTTGGGTTGAGAAAAAACATAACCATATGGTTTGAGTCTAAGCTTGGGTTTGGTTTGGGTCGGTTTGAGTTTGATTGGTTCGGTTAAAATGCCCAGCCCTACTTATTAGGGAGTTTCAATGAAAATCTACAAAATTTGCATTTTATTTTAGACATTGCATGCATGTTCACTTATTTGAGGTTGAAAGGGAAGTCTTCTCTCGAGTTAAACAACGAAACAGACAAACTAGCAAATCTATACTATATAAAAGTCGAGGCCATAAGCTCCTGAGGCCGTCCACGTGGGATTTTAAACCACCAATCGCGGTTAGACATGTCATTAGTTTACGTTTTTGAAATTATTATTATTTTCTATTTTTTTAGATTTTGTAAAATGGAAAAAGCAACATATGCAAATTAGAGAAATATTTAAAAATATAGAAAATTTTCTAAATATTTTGTCATCAAAACACATAATATAAAAATTATCAAAATGTAATTTTTTTTCTTCAAAGTTTATACAATTTTAAACGAAAATACAGAATTTATTTTTTAGTCTCACTACATTTATTAGTACTTCATTTTCAATAACAATAGCCATTTAATCACAATAGCTATCTCATTGAATGATATTTTAAAAATTTATAACTTTCCTTTAAAAAGCACTTATAGATAAGAAAAAATAGGACAATATATTGAAGCAAGATGTATATAAATTATGTTATTATAATACATAAAATAATTCATATTAGTCTCACAAATTTGATTATATTGTCATATTTTCTAAACGACCAATCGCAATTAGTCATCATTGATTAACATTTTGAATCGTCGGTAACAGTTAGGGTTGGTTACTACTCTTTATTAGGGATAACAATAGCCCACATTGGAAGTTGAGTAGAATCTTATGTGGTATATATAAGATATGGACCTCTCCAATCATAGCTAATTGATTTTGAGTTCGAAGCCCAAAGTCTAATATAGCATCAGAGCCCGATCCGCACATGCTCAACCCAATCCACATCGGCCCGACCAAATAATTTGGTCCGTCGATCTATGCCCGAACATACAGAGATCAATGGCTAAAAGAGCCATCATCTCGAGCGGGCGCATTAGGGATAACAATAACCTACACTGGAAGTTGAGTAGGATCTTAAGTGGTATATATAAGATATGAGCCTCTCTACTCATAGTCAATTGGTTTTGAGTTGGAAGCCCACAGTCTAATACTCTTAATGGCGCATATTATATTTTTTAATCGCTTTTGCCACTTGTAGCAATATTTGGACTTCTAACTTTTTTTTTATCATATTCACAATTTAATATAGTTATCTTTGCTTTTGTCGCTCATAAGACATAACCATGCTTTTATGCTAAAATGTTAATTTATATCTTATGATAGTATAAATTTTTTTTCACTCTCATCATCGATTGTTACGATCTTTTTTCTTGTGTGTGTGATTCACTCGGCATTACATCCACACCTAATAGATCTAACTTTCCTCTTTCCGAGATGCTATATCCCGTAGAGATAAACAACTTTATTACTTACATGTCTGCACCACCACCTAATATATTATGCTTATGTTTGTTAGATTGTTTGTCATTTGAGACTGAGAGTAGCTTTTATTGTTTTGGTGAGAGTAGAATCGAAAGAGTCCGGCTAAGTTTGTGAATGGTAGATGTGCTAATGGAATAGAGAATGAAACAAAGGAAATGAGTGCTTGCAAAAAAATAGAAAGAGTGATAGCTCTCCGGAAAAAATTGTGAAGACGGAAATTCATATAAATATTGAAAAGAATGTGAAAATATGAATTGTTAAAAATAAAGTATAGATTAGCTTATGAGTACAATTCTGTATAGAATCTTATATTTAGAAGAGCTACACTAACTAATACAGTGAAGATAGACGAATAAAAATAGTGAATTTGCGTATATCAAAATGAGAAAGTCGTCGAAGTTAGTCCCCATACAACAATAAATCTAGGAAAGTGGTGGTTGTAGTGAGAGTTGAGGAACATACATGTAAGACTGTGCAGGGAAGCTCTCTTGGGAAAAGTGTCTAAGCCAATATTGTGAAAGATGTTTATGGTTAATGAGGTAACTTATTGTGTGGTTCTTTTGTGAAACTTAGGTTGTATATTTCTTCCGTTGGATGATATCTAACCAGAAAAAAGGTATGAAGACTTGTGTTGAAATTATGGAAAAGTGGTTCTTCTTAGAGTACCAATTTCAATCAAAAACATGAATTAGAAAGACGTAAGAAAGGTAATAAATTTAATTGATGAGATCAGTTTCCTTGCATTATGAACAATTGACGTCAGAATTTAGGTAACAAAGAGGGTTGATCTCCATGTAAAAAAAATGAAAGAAAAAGAGAGAAACACGGTTGACACCATAAGACAAACTTGGATTATCAAATATGGAAAGAAAGTGAGAAAACAGTTATGACATGACCTCTTTATGGCAATGTTTTGTTCATATGTAGCTGAAACTTGATGGCAAGGTTTCCCATTGTGTTGGGATGAACCATTTTTGTATAAGAGATGCTCTGATGGTATTTTTAGGATAAATGGGGTCATTGTCAAAATATTATAATTGCTTTACTAATAGCAAATCTTTAATAGTATCTATACTATTAATTGGGAAGCATTGGATAATAAATAACCTTATAAAGGGTAAAGAATTACAAAAAATGCCATTGGTTTTTAGTGTTTTTAAATAACTTCATTAAGGGTACAATAGTAATCACAAAATTAATATATTTAAATAAAAAATAGTTTAATTCTTTTAAATAATTATTAATTTCCAAAAAAATAAACTAATTTTCTCTCTCTTATTAATTATAAACGAAAATTTGAAATTAATTTTTTAAAAATTGTTAACCAATAGGAATTGAAAAACTAAGATTTGATATCCAACTAAGATTTTAATTCAAAAATAAAACAAATTTTAATAGACTATTCTATATCAAAAATAAAAAGAAAAATAATATCATTTTAATTCAAAATTAAAAACACTATCATTTAAAAGATTTATCAATGGAGGACTTTAAAATTTTGTAAGAAAATTAAATACAAATATTTAAATATTCAGTTTTGTTATAATATTTTCACAAATTTTAAAATAATTTCACAATTCCTAAAATACAATATTAGGTATTAACAACGCTTTATATTTATGATGAAATAAACTCAAATAATAATAAATTTAAAGTAATTATCATTATAGCCTTCGTTTAAAGCAAGTTTGATAAATATCTAACAATAGATTGTATATATTAATTTCTAAATTATTTTGCGTTTTATTTTTTGTTTTTCAACCGGATCTTCCTTAAATAAATCCCTAATATATTGCACACAGTTTTCAAATAATGTAAACTAATTATATATTTTGAATTCAAAACAAATTATGCAGCAATAGCATATCCCTTTTAAAAATGTATCTCAAATTTTTATTTTTAGTCCAAAAATCAAATTAATTATGATTAAACAATAAAAAGAAGAATATGCAAAATTTAGCTAAGGAAAGAAACATTAATAAATTTGTTAAAATATATTTATAACTTTAGCAGCATATATATTAATCTACAAAACTCACAGTATGTATATGGTATTTAAAAGTACGCAAATAAGAATTTGGAACATGATTTTAATGGAATGAAATGAGAATAGGAATTACGAGACGGAATGAGAGGGGAACATAAATTAAAAATCAAACTAAATACCCAATTGGTATGAGTTCAGGTTATGAGCACTATATAAAATAAATTTGTTTACATACATAACCATGTACGTACGTTTTCAGTTACACCTATTCTATTTATGCCGGATACGGGTTATGGGACCAAGAATTTATGACAGATATAGGACGGGATATGTTTCCCGTTCTAAAATAGTTACGCCTAGCTAATATACATGAAATAACCAAACTCAAACCGAATCTATATCCTATTTAACACATGTAATCAAACTATTATAAATGTTTTGATTAGTTTAGAAAATAAAAAAGTAACATCATTTAACTTTTGCAACTAAATTATATCTTAGTTTTATCTTAAATATAATTTCGCACGTAC